CCCGTTCAAGCGTTATTTCTGCTGGCTCATGTGATCTGCACAACTGAAATTTATAGAAATTCGGTTCTTGAGCCAATAAAGAATCATGCAAATTATTTAATTTTCTAACGAATAAATGACTGAAAATGTTAGACCGCACTTTAACCCCCTTTTCACGTTCTTCCTCTTACCTGGATGAATACGAACCAAAAGTATGCAACCCGAGCTTGAAGGGCTTTAGCTGCGCTCGACGTGCAGAAGCATAAAATTAACATCACTAACAGTGCAGTCCTACACTGACAGTCTCAAGATCTCCATTGCCTAGCTGCTACCCAAAGAATTTACTGAATCTCTAGATTATAAGGGTAAAAGAAGTTACTTTTCGGCAAGCTCGAACCAGTGACTGCCGTCCATCGTTTCCGCTGAGTATCTTAACTGTAGTACACTGTGGACCAGTGGGGAAGCTGTTGTCCTCTGCCTCGCAAAATACAATGCTGCAATTCTTCGAACAACTCTTCAACATGAGATTTTGCGTTAAGTGCCGTAGAATCTCTTGTTTTGAGGAGATATATGACCAAGGGTCGTAGAGCGTAACCCTTCTGATGCCAGCACGTGAGCTGTGAATTAGCAATTTACTCAGCGCTTCCTGAAATAATGCAGTTCCTCTTATTGTATGGACCGACTGCAGATGTTAGGCTGTTCAGTATGAGGGCAGATGTCAAACAGTGCTTGGGGATTTCAGCTCCAGGATATCCCTCACCCCATATGCTCATCCTTCAACTCGCACCTTCCATGTATTTATATGATAAAAAAGTTGGAAAACTCACTGCTTTGTATTATCTTCTGCCTATCTGACGGAGTAAATTATCAAAAGAGTCAAATTTCGAGAACGATATGTACCTTCTCGCACTTCTCCAAAAACCACAAAAATTTGGGTGCCTGTCAGGTCAACGAGTCCCTCTCATGCAAAGTTACAATGGGAAGAAGAGTGCCTCGAAATCAAGGCTAATCTAAAGGTGAATGGTTCGAGAGATCGGACGAACAGTGTATTATTTCAGGCGGATACTTTGAAATGTTAAACTGCATGTGCTGCAGATAAATGCTCTATCGTTGCTATACAAGATTTGTGAAGCGTTAGATCTGTAACGCTCATGAATTGCGTCTTTCTTCGCAG